GGAGTCAAAGGCAAAACGGGGCTTTCCTCAGTTCTGAGAATGAGAATGAGCCCCTTAAACTGCTGTTCCCTGAAGGAATGTACTCATCTACTACACCAATGAATCACACTTCCAATTTAGCACCTCTGATTCGTGGCGTCTCTCCCCCGTAGGTCAGTCATCAGATATTCTCTCTCTCATGGAACCCCAACACCAGGGCTCTCGATCACATTGTTACCCGGAACATGTGCCCATGTAACCTGTAACTAGCAATGCACGATTTGAAAAATGTGTCCTTTCTTTTTAAACAATCAGAGAAATTTCAAAGTTACCCTGTTAGTGTGGCACTCTCTTTACGGGTTGAATTGTGTCCCTCAAAAAGATATGCTGAAATCCTAAGCCCTCGTACCTGTGAACGTGAACTTTCTTTGGAAATAGGATCTTTTCCAGATGTAATTAGTTATGTTCACATGAGGTTGTACTGGAGTGGGGTGGGTCTTCATCTAACATGACTGATGTCCTTATGAAAAAGGAGGAGAGACAGATACACAGAGGGAAGCCAGCCATGTGAAGATGGAGGCTCAGGTGATGAAGTGATGCCGCCGCAAAACACGGAACACTTGGGGCCACCAGGAGCCGGGAGAGGCAAGAAGGGTCCTCCCTAGAGCCTCCGGAGGGAGCACAGCCCTGCTGGCTCCCTAAAATCAGAACTGTGGCCTCCAGACCTGAGAGAGAATGAGTTTCTGTTGTCAGCCACCCAGTTTATGGTATTTTGTTACGGCGGCCCCAGGAGACTAACACAGTCCCCTTCTTCCACTCTGGCGTGTATTCTTCAAGAGGAGAGAGAAAGGGAGGGGAACTTCCAAGGCGGTGAGTCAGTGGGGAAAACCTGAGAGCTGTGGATGTGCCTTCCTCACCCCCGCCTCAGTGCCCAGGAGAGTGCTGGGTGGAGCACACTCTCGGCACAGTTTGCTGAGGAATGCAAGTGTTTATTAAAAATAAAAAGTCAGTAAATATTGTATGACTAATTTATCCATTCAAAGGTATTTGCCAGTCAGCTGTGTACCATTGTGTTCGAGGCTCCAGAGAGAGAGAAGAAAGGAGACAGGAGAGTCGTATCCTTTGCCTGCTAAGGCCGGAGCCAGACAATAACAGGTCAGGGGAATTGATATTCCATCCCATGGGTGTAGGTCTATGCAGGCAGCCGGGAGCGGTTTACACATGGGAAGGGAGACAGGCATTTTCATGGAGGGTGTCGGGAAGATGGGCGTTAGTGAAGGTGAGGAGCAAGCCCGGGGTCCCTGGGCACAGACAAAAGAGCAGCTGCAGTGAGGAGGCTGGTGTGAGGGAGAGGGCCCCCCCTTCTCCTTGCAGCACCCTCACAGTCAGCAGCCTCATCAGACAGAAGCTTCCCCGGCGTCTTTCATAAGGAAAAAAATACCTCCCGATATTACATATAGAAAGAGTCCCTGGGTGGCGCAATGGTTAAGCACGGGGCTACTAACTGAAAGATTGGTGATTTGAACCCACACAGAGTACCTTGGAAGAAAGGCCTGGCAATCTGCTTCTGAAAGGTCACAGTCTTGAAAACCCTATGGAGCAATTCTAATCTGCACACACGGGGTTGCCATGAGTTGGAATCATCGTGATGACAGCTAACGACAACAACAAAATCACAAGCAGAAATAGGCAGGATGGTGCAAGATAGGGTGGGGAGTTCGTTTCTTTCCATTCTGGTTCTACTTTAGAACACAATGCCACGTAACATGCATGCACATGCTAGGTAACATACATGCATGTTTCATGTAACGTACATGCCATGCGACATCTCAGAGCATTCGTCTTAAAAGACATCACATATATTCTATCAAGTTAAAAAATGTTTTAAAGACACCTCTTTCGTGTAAAAACTACCTATAGGAACCAGAGGTTTTTTTAATTCTCAATATTTTGGTTTGTTTTTAAATCACTGGTACTTCAAAAATTAGATTTCGGAAAACAAAAGCATAGCCTAGCCTTTTCTGTTGCTCAGAAACCTTACTTTCATAGAATTAAGCAAATTAAAACACTTATCTCAGTGTTTTACAATGTCAAACAACAGGAAAGAAACTGCAAACCACAGAAAGGTTTTTAGAAGTAGGAGTTGCGAATCAGTCATTCTAAGACTTAACATACCACGACGTTTAACAGTCTTGAGCTCGCTGAGAAGAGGTGTTTTTTTCTGCTTTCACTTTTAATTGAGACTGTATCCTCTGTGTACAGGTACTATGTTCTTTATACGAAGTAAATACTGTTGCTGCTCAATGGCATTAACAATTATGTCAACCACGAGGTTATTAGTAATACAGGTTAAGAATGTGTTACATAAAATGATGAGTTATCCCTCACTCAATGTTTATGAGAACTATTTATATATTTATAAAATGGATGCTTCTTTCAATGGAGAAAAGGGGATTCCAAATCAATAACAACATTATAAAAATATAAATCCCACCTAGTTCACCTTGGACCTGACATCATTCAGCAAGTAACTAAACAATATGATTCATAACTGTAATTAAGATAAAATATGAGCATGAACAGTATATAACCACTCATTTGCTTTACATGGATGATCTGAAAGCAAATGATGGGAAATTATCCTCTTGACTGATATAGAAATTAGGCTCAAATACAAATCAATGACACGCGAACACTGCCAAGCTTATTATTATGAAGTAAAAACGGTGTCACAGAACCGGGGCTCAGGGCTGTGGGGCTGCGACTTGATTCAGTTCAATGGACACTTTTCAGCCACCTCTGTGTGCAAGGTGGAGGTTTCCATCCTTAGCACCATGACGTCCTGGGGAAGTGTAATTTGTCTTGAGATGTGGCACAAATAGCTTCATGTTGAGTTAAAGTACCAAAGAAATGGAATAATACCCCTTTTTTCCCCTCTAACATTAGGGTGGATTCAGTTTTGTCCACGGTGTCAGGCTTATTCTCTTGCAATGTGAAATGATTCTTGAGTGGGAGGGAGGAGGTAGACACAGAGCTGGAGAATCAGAGGCCCTGTGATCTGGGGACCATGTGAATATCATCTGTTGTAAGCCTCTCAGTAGGAGAAACGTTGAGAGCCCCTGTTGAGCCACGAAGGAGCCCTGGTGGCACAATGGTTAAGCCCTCGGCTGCTAACGGAAAGGTCAGCGGTTTGAACTCACCAGCCGCTCCGCAGGAGAAAAGACCCAGCAATCTGCTTCTGTAAAGATTACAGCCTAGGAAATCCTACGGGGCAGTTCTACTCTGTCACGTGGGATTGACTCAATGGCACACAACAACGATGACAACGCTGTGCCATGCTACATTTGTCTCTGTATTTTCCAAACTTTCTACAGTAAAGGGAGGTACGGGGTATAGAGGGAAATACCGCTGGGAAGGCCGACTATGTGAGATTATAGCGGGCTGGGGAGTTGGACTGGGCTGGAGGAGTTGAGGTTGCAGTCTGTGTGCTAAGGCTGCCCTAACAGTTTCTGGGGAGAGGAGCGTACAGTGCAGGAGAGTTTTAGAAGAAAACCCGGCAGGCCAGTCCAGGTCACGCAGGAGTGGGAAGAATCTGGAGCCCTGCTCTCAACCCTGGAGAGTGCTCACAAGACCTGCTGTCAGAAGCTGGTCAGAATCTCTGAGGGTGGACTTAGACCTGGTAGTTTTAAAGGCTCCTCAGGTGATTCAAATGAGCGGTCAGGGTTGAGAGCTACAGAAACAAAGGAAGGAAACGCAGGCGAGGGGCCCCAGTGTTCAACTGGATGAGAAGTGTTAACAGGGGCTTACACCAGGTGTGCCAAGTTTATTCCACTAGTCTAAATGCAGGAGCCCTGGTGGTGCAGTGGTTAGTCACTTGGCTGCTAACTAAAAGGTCAGCGGTTCAAACCCACCAGCTGCTCTGTGGAAGAAAGCTATGGCCGTCTACTTCCGTAAAGATTAGAGCCTAGGAAACCCCATGGGGGCAGTTCTACTCTGTCCTATAGGATCGCTATGAGCGCTATAAGTTGGAATTGACTTGATGGTAACAGGTTTGGTTTAGTCTGAATGCAGGTGACTGATTTAGCGGAGTTCTAAGAAAAGGCATCAAATGTTGTCCATCCTTTTGCCAAACATCTGGGATTCAGAACAAGTTCTTCCAGAAAATGATCAGGGGAATGTGTGTACGCAAAAAAGGAAAGTGCGAGCTAAGTGCCAAGTGTGGTGAAACAGCCCAGCGCTCCCACCCAGAGCAATGGAGGTGAATACAGAATCAGGTTCTGAGCTGGCAGACAATCCCATCACTTCATTGCTGTGCCATTGGCCTGAATTTTCATGCTCTTCCAAAGCAGCAGCTAACTAGACAGACTGAAATTGGAAATCCTATTTAAGAAACAGGAAATGTTGAAAAAACAAAGGGTTTGTGCATGAGAGCAAAGAAGATTTATAATCTCTTTTCTGAGAACCATTCTGTACTTCCAGGAAAATCACAGAATGTGGGCAAGGAAAGAGGGCCCCTTCACTCCGTTTCTTTTACTTTTCTTTCTTTCTTCTTTCCTTTTTTTCCTTTATTTTTCTTCTTCTCTCTCTTTTCTTCCTTTCTCCTCTCTCTCTCTTGTTTCTCTCTCACTCTTCCTTTCTCTTTCTCTCTCTCTTCCTCTCTCTCTTTCTTTCTTTGTTAGGGTCTACAAAAAAACCAAACCAAACCCGTTGCTGTTGAGTTAATTCCAACTCATAGCGACTCTGTAGGACAGAGCAGAATTGCCCCATTGGGTTTCCAAGGAGCAGCTGGTGGATTCGAACTGCCGGCCTTTTGGTTAGCAACTCAACGCAGGGTCTGTAGACATGGAATATTCCAGAACAAGTTAGTCAAGAAGGCCCAGCTTTCCACCAATCATCAGGGAAGAGCCGTGCCAGCTGAAACCTATCCTTTATCCCGCTATATCAAGGATTTTGTGCTTAAGAACAAAAATAAAACTTACGTATTCAGGGATTTGGGTTTTTAGGCTGGGCATACGTCTTACCTTACTGGCCTTCTCAGCGTTTAACTCTCGCTTTCCCATGTGGTTTCCCATTGTGAACGAATACGTTCTTCAGAAGCTAAAAGAAAAAAAGAACTGTTAGTTTTAAAACAAGCACTTTTAGAGTTTTCCACATTGTTTTTCAGTCAGAACAGCAATCTTGTGAGGTACTGCTATGCTCACTTTAGAGAAGAAAAAACTAAACCCCCAAAGCTCAGGAGACACATGAAAGCCAGATTGTTAATAAATGCCATGTCTTTCAATTCCATGTAAAGAACTAGAAAGTAGAATTGCTCCCAGAACCTAAATTCTGCTCAGTAAAAAACACACTTCAGTTTGTTTTCCTCATCTATAAAAAATGTCAACCCATCTCAAGAAATCTCAGATGATTTACACATAAATACATATTAAAGAGGGACTCACACCTCCTATCCAGGTGTAATGTGATGAGATTAACTGAGACTCCAGACAAGCCCTTACCCTTCCTCTAAAAATAAAAGAAAATAAGCAGATATGGGTGCTAACTGCTTTAAAGAGCCCGTGTGAGCACAGAAACAACAAAAATCAGACTGTGGACTTCCTATCAGACAAGTATCCAAAAAATCTGCAGAATTTGTAGAGAAGATAAAGTTGGATTAAAAAAAAAGAATGTGTTCTCATTTTTATTTTCCAACCCAAGCCTTAGCAGCAAATCCATAATTTTTTTTCCCCAAAAAAGGCCCAGTTGAGGAATTTAGCCAGGCCCATTCCAAACAAATAGCTTACACATCAGTATCTCTGGACCATGCCTTCCCAGGGAGGACTCCTCCACCTGAGGGCCCCTCACACTATCACCTAAGACTTTGTCTCAGGAGACCATGGTCCTGAGAGACAATTTAAATGTAGTTTTCCATGATGTTTTCTTTGTAAAAGTCTCTGGGTGGAGCAAGTGGTTAATAGTAAACGTGCTCAGCTGCCAATTGAAAGGCTGGCGGTTTGAACACACCCAGAGGTGCCTCAGAAGAAAGGTCTGGCGATCTACTTCTCAAAAATCAGTCATTGAAAACCCTATGGAGCACAGTTCTACTCTGACACACACGGGGCCGCCATGAGGCAGAGTCGACTCGATGGCAACTAGTTTGGTTTTATTTTTGTATTCTTTGCAAAGAAGACATGAGTATGAACTCACCTACCAGACCCAGAGTTATCCTTGAAAGGTAAATAAAATGAATAATTTCTCAAAATTGGAAGTGGCAATTTACGAAACATTACATAGGCCTGAATACAAGGCAAGTTTCTTTCCCAAAAGCCATTCTTTAGAAAAGAGGGAATTGCCTAATATTTGAGTTTTTCACAGTTCTACTGGTGCCTTTCCAGTGACGAATGAAGTTCTTCATGAGGGACACTTTCTCCACGAGTAGCCCCATCTGACCATGGATGTTGGACTGAATGACGGGGAAGGGAAGCCATACAAATGTACAGTGCAGGAGTTGCTCCTAGGAGCATAATCTCTCCGTGCATGTTGGATATAGTGAGTTACACTGTGGAGACCATAAACATTCAACTGCATGAAGAATGAAAAACCCCACCTATCTGAATATTATGTAAATGGGTGCTTGGGTGCTCTCATTTCCAGAGAAAGCATCATTAGAGAGATTTAAAAAAGGGCTGTGTTTCCAACAACTTAAAACAAAGGGCTGATAATGTGCTCTGGAAAACTTCTAGGTAAATCAAAGAGGAGCTTCCTGTGATGATAAAGGTATTACTACCCTTGAAGGTTCATGTGAAGTGTTTGAATGCAACTGTTTAGTGAATGAGAGGGAAAAAAAGCAACATTTAATATGAGTGATTGCAAAAATGTAAATCTACCTTTGCAGATAATTTCAGTATCCAGTGGAATTCTATCCTCCACCTTACCTCAAAAACCTTGACAGGGTAATCTTCTCACTGGGGAAATGGAGGTTTGGGGCACGCATTGTACTTTACTTGCTAAGAGTGGGTAAAAATGGGAAAGAGAATTATTTTTGCTCTCTTGGGGTCTAACTACAGTCAGCAAACATGGATGAGCATCGCTTGTGAGATGTGGCTGAGTGTTGGGTATAGAATGGCTGTCATTCCAATGTTCGTCCTCTTTAAGTTCATGCAGTATGTATATGATATACAGAATAACAATAATCAAACACTTGTGTATCTGCCTTCCTGTTCACAATAAGGCTTGTAGGGTTTTATGAATTAGCAGCCAAGGTAAATTCTAGCCTTCAAAGCACAATTTACATACTGGCAGGAGAAGAAAGGCAGGGAAGACAAAATGGCAGTTTGGTGTGTGGTAGTCTCTGAGATGGGGGCCCTTCACCGATGGGAAGACATTTTCTGAACATTGACACTGGAGCTGTACTCATGTAGTACTCAGAACCACGCGGAGTGTAAATCCACTCACATTCTGGCCTACGATCCTGAGTGCCTGACAGCCTGGTTCATTAGCTCGAGCACTCTGCCCCGCTCTGTGCTCTGAGGTGGGGGGGGTGACAGAAGGACAGATGTAATCACGACTGGGACGGAGAACCCCCTGGCGCTAGTTTCGGGGGCTTCTGTAGTTACGGAAGGAAATGATCTGCAGAGAGAAGGAGCTGCATGTTCAGCTGTCACCTTCACTTTGTTTCATTTTTTGGGCGATTAATCAAATTGAGAGAGCAAGAGAAAAATCTGACGGACATGTCGGAGGCCTCGTGGAGGCCTGTCTGACTCTGAAGATCTCTCGGGTAATTTTAGAAGCTTTTTGTGAAACAGAAAAGGCACAGTGGGCAGAGCTGTGCTGGGAGGGAGAGGCATTCAGATTGTATTGGGGCTGCTGCAGGCAGCTTAGATGGAAAGTCAGTTATGGATCAGACCTCTCAGAGGCCAAAGGGATTGAGAATTTCCACATGTGTCCTGGTCATCCATGCTTTCTGTTAGCTGCAGGGCTTGGATGACGCATATACAGTTAGAGCCACAACCCAGAGTACTGGGAATCACCTCCATCTTAACTGTTTGGCTTTTTATTTTTAATGATAGGCTCATTGTAGCTGAGACAACTGAAGGTTACCTTGTGGAGTCCTTTAAGGAATGAACGCAGATAAAATTTATTGACATGTAAATGTCAGCACGGGAATGCTGGGCAGGACACCTGCTTGGCACTGTGGTAACCAGTGGCCCTGTACAGGGTGTTCCAGCTGTTTCTTTTTTTAGCTTAATTTTTTTTAATTGTGGTAAAAAATATTTAACAAGCTTTGCCCTTTAAACCATTGTTAAGTGTACAACTCAGAGACATTAATTCTATTCACCATGTGGTGCAACCATCACCACTATTCATTCATCTCTCTAAACAGAAACTCAGTTACAGCCTCGGAAACCCTATCGGGTAGTTCTCCTCTGGCCTATAGGGTCCCTGTGAGTCAGAATCAACTGGATGGCAACGGGTTTGTTTGTTTGTAAGTTTTTTTGGCTTTTAAACAGAAACTCAGTGCTCCTGCAATGACTCCTCATTCCAACCCCTGCCCCCAGGCCCTGGTAACCATTAACAAGCTTTTGTCTCTATACGCTTGCCTATTCTAGATATTTCTTCTTTGCTGTTGTTGTTAGTTGCCATCAAGCTGATTCTGACTCGTGGTGACTCCATGTGTGCAGAGTAGAACTGTTCCATAGGGTTTTTAAGGCGGTGACCTCTCAGAAGCAGATTGCCAGGCCTTACTTCTGAGGTGCCTCTTGGTGGGTTTGGACTGTCAACCTTTCGGTTAGTAGTCAGAGCTTAACTATCGCGCCACTTATCATATAAATGAGCTATCGCTACAGTATCTGTCCCTGTGTGTCTGGCTTATTTCATTCAGCATCACATTTTTAAGGTTCCTCCCTAGGGTAGTATGTAACTCTATGGCTGAATAACATTTCATTATATAGTTAGACCACATTATATGTATCCATTCATCTGTTGATGGACACTGGGGCTGTCTCACCTTTTGGCTATTGTGAATAATCAAATAACAATTGGAGCATATATACTGTATAATAATACTGCTGCAGTGAACACTGATGTACAAGTATCTGTTCGAGTCTCACAATTCCTTTGGGTTTATAGCTAGGAGTGGAAAGCTTGGGTAGTTCCAGCTCTTGCTACTGTAAATAGGGCAGATGAGACCCAGTTTCTCACCCCAGGTTCCAGGGGTGTACCCAATGCTGGGCCTCAGGTTCCGGTAATGAAATTCTCTGGAGCTGAGGGGCTCTCTCCCCTTCACCAGGCCCAGGGTTACCAGGGTGGGTGGTGGACAGCTCAAGGGGCATCCATCCAGCTCTGAGCTATCTGCTATCTCATACACGTTTCAGAGATGTTTACGTAGGTCCCCATATACATGTGTATCACTCTCAGCCTGTCAAGGTCCAGGGAAGGGAAAGACGTAAAAACATCAGGCGCTGCTGAGAAGCCAGAGGTTACATCACACAATTAGCCCACACCCATGTACCTACTTCCCCGTGGACGACTAAATCGACCTCGTCAACAACTAAATTAAAGGAAGTAATGCAACTTTTGCTGGTTTAAGACCATCCCAAGTGTTGCAGGCTGGGGGAAAAAAGAAAAATGTGGGTGGAAGCAGGTAGGAGATTCAAGAAAAAGCAATTCCCCAGATCTTCAGAGAAGCCTTCAGATTTTAAAATGCCAAATGGGCCGTTTCTGAAATACCTTTGGGTGCAGTTTTATGGGCAATGGAAATGTGAAACTCTTTGTTTAAATAAATTAATTGTGGGATTAAGAAGACCTCAATTCAAATCTTCCTAGAGAGCCGGCTTAGTAGATGTGGTCCAACAAATCATCTCAGCCCCTCCCAGAACCTTCTAAAATGTGAGAAGACAAACTTCTTCCCTGTTGAGGATTTAGTTGACACACACGTTCGGTACAGTAATGCAAGATCAAATTTATGGTAGTATGGAAGTAATCCTATGTTTTTTTGTACTTCACTGTGTGTGTGGGCTTATTAATAACCAATCTGTACAGTGTATTTATGCCTATGTTGTGGGACACAGATGTTTCATTTTTACAGGTTTATAGTTCTTTCGGCTTTGCTTTTATAACATGCTGTTGATTGCACAATATTTTTTAAGAGTCCTTGTTTAAGAAAGCAATCCTAAAATGAAATGTTTCTATGGAGATGCAGGAATAATTTTATAGTGATTGGCTTCATCCCTGATGTTTCTATAAACCACATCATGCATGAATTACAGGAATAAGCCTGTAAACTGGGCCCTTTTATTCCCATTTCACAGTTGAGAACAGTAAAGCTGAGAGAAATATATTACAGTGAAAAACAGGGATTAACCAAAAACCAAACAAACAAAAAACCCCATTGCCGCTGAGTCGATTCCAACTCATAGCAACCCCTCAGGACAGAGCAGAACTGCCCCACAGGGTTTCCAAGCAGTGGCTGGTGCATTTGAACTGCTGACCTTTTGGTTAGCAGCCGAGCTCCTAATTACATTATGAATGTGTTCTGTATGGGAAAAAAAGTATTAGGGTAGGTCTAAGATATCATACATTTCTAAATTATTAATTAGGACAATAAAGAAAAATAAGACCTTATTCTAACATTTGTTGGATGTCATTGAGTCGATTCCGACTCATAGTGACCCCAAGTGATAGAGTAGAACTGACCCATAGGGTTTTCTAGGTTGTAATCTTTATGGGAGCAGATTGCCAGGTCTTTCTCCTGTGGAGCCGATAGGTGGGTTTGAACTGCCAACCTTTCACTTAACAGCCAAGTGCTTAACCGTTGTGCCACCAGGGCTCCTTACTCTATCAAGTAATCCAGAGAAAACATGAATAATGAAAGCCTGTTTCTTATAAACATGTGCCTGGATACACAAGTTGCATAATAAGAACAGTACAGACTTTAATTCTCTACCTAATATCTTACAATAACAGCTGGTGAAAAGTTATGCCAGCAATTATTTGGGGTTTAATTCCATCCCTGCCAATAATTATTTACTGGGGGAGCTTAGCAAATTTAATTTCTCTCAGCTTCTGATTTCTCATCTGTAAGAAAGGAGATAACAATACCTGCAGTGTAGTGTATCGAGGATTAGATAAGGTAATGCATGCAAAGGCAACAACCCTGATAGCATCCCAAGAGTGCAGCTGCCTTCTCTGCCCTCCCTTAGAGCAGGGCTTGTTTGTCACATGCAGTGCTGAGTGCAGATGCAGATGAACAGGGAGTCAGCTATGATCCCAAAATGCTAACCTTTCATGTATTAAAAATAATCAAAACTCACTGAAATTTGAACGTAGGGTTTCTTCTGAACAGGTATTCCATATGCATTTACCTGTTGTCATTGAGTCAATTCCAACTCATAGAGACCCTATAAGACAGAGGAGAACTGCCCCATAGTGTTTCCAAGGCTGTAATCTTTACGGAAGCAGACGGCCACATTCTTCTCCTGTGGAGTGGCTGTCAGGTTCGAACAGCCGACCTTTTGGTTAGCAGCTGAGCACTTAACCACTGTGCCACCAGGGTTCCTTATATGCCTATTGGGAGACCATTTTGAGGAGGGAGAAATACATAACATCAACCATTGGCTAATCTTAACGTGATTGACTGAACCCTTCCTTCCCTCTTTACTGAGATCAACTGACATCAGGTTACTTCGGCCTGGCTGCCAGGGCCGAGTGAGCAGCCCCTGGTGCTTAGGAGCATTTTTGTGTTTTGGAGGTTACATCCATTCTAGAAGCATGGAAACAAGGGAAAGATTGATGTGGAGTTTACACTCGAGTGAAGGCTTCTTTGACAACTGGGTTGTATGTTGAATCTTGAGGGAAAACACTGTGCAGAATTCAGACTGAGGGAGACAGGTATAGACAGGGTATCCTAGGAATAGGACAACCTGAATAAAGGTAACGAAGGAGAAACAGTTAAAATTCCCAAAGGCCACATCATTTCCCTTTTGGGAATGCTAAGAGCAGGACAGACAGCCCAACAGAAAGCAGTAGGCTGCAGAGAATAGCCCACAGCAAGGCCCCCTGACTCCAAGCCGATGGAGCACAGGGTGGGGGTAGCAGGACAGGTATGGCCCCAGTGCAGGCCTACCCAGTCTCGTAAGGCTAAAGCCTCAGAGCGAATGTCCTGTGACTGGGACCGCAGCCAGCAGCACCCTCAGAGACCTGCGCGTGAATGGTCGGGGTTTGAGGTATCACCTCTGGCCATGCCCCCTGCAAAGATGAAAATAAACCCCACCCCCCAAAGAGAGGTTTGTGATACATCAAGTTGGCCGAGCAGACAATATGCCTCTCTGTGACATGCAAAATAAAATCTAGAGACCAGGTTTAAAAGAGCAAGGAACACGTGTATAACAAAAACAAGGGATTTCTGAACCAACAAAATAACGTAACTAATTGACTGGCTTCTACTCCTTCAATATCCTTGTTATGCTTCCCCTGTCTCTCTGTCTCTGTCTCTGTCCCTCTCTTCCTTTTCCCTCCCCTTCCCCCATTTTCTTCTCTCTACCAGCCCCAAGCATTTATCATCCATGTCTCTTTCTGTAGACTGTCATTTCTATTTCTCAGATCAGAATGTTCTGTAACACGCTGTGTTCAGAACATAGTAAACAACTACCAACAGCCAAACATAAATCACACACACACACACACACACACACACACACACACACGACAAAAATAACAAAACCATTTCACAGACTAGAGCAGGAGGTGGGAAGCACACTGTATTGACAGCTAAGGTCTGACACCCACTGCTTCCCCACACTCCTCTCTTCCATCACAGGCTCACTCTGCACAGACACCGTGGGTGTGTGTGTGTGCAGGATGCATCCCAAACCCACTGCTGTTGAGTCAATTCTGACTCACAGAGACCCTATAGGGTTGCAAAGGCTGTAAATCTCTACGGAAACAGACAGCCACATCTTTCTTCCACAGTTACGTGCGGTTTCGAACCGCCGACCTTTTGGTTAGTAGGATGCATCAGGATTCAGAAATCACTAGCAAAGGACCCAGGCAGCCCCCTCTGAATCAACCCTCACAACTTGAGCCAATGATTGCCTGAGGTGGGGGCTCAGGGCCAAGCACCCTGCCACCTGGTCCCCTCCTCCATCTCTGAGGCTGGGGTAGAGTCTCACCTGCCCAGGCTCCCTTCCCTCCCGACCTTCCCAATTCTCTGAGGTTGAGGCCAAAGTCCACCTAAGAAGTCTACATACACCCTAGAACTGTCTTCAGGACCTGCATTGGGCTGGGTATCCTGATGGATCTTAGAGACAGTTCCTAAGCCCAATCTGGACCCACTCATGTAAGAATTGCCCAAGAAGAACCAGCTTCTTGATGTTCTAGGGTGGGAATGCTTGCTTTGGCAATATCAGACAGTACCATCCATTAGCTGATTGCCACTACCCTTAGTCTCCCCCAGAACTCCCAGATATAAGTAGATTTATAGCATGGAAGAACATGTCCTTAAAATTATCGATGATATTTCTAAAGAAAATTATGGAATTATGTTAAAATCGAGTTTGTTGGAAACCTGATGGAGGCCCCCTGACTTTGTAGAAAGAGCCGCTATTTTAATAACTAGTTCTGGGGCATCCAGCTTTTGGTGTAGCTCGAACACCACCCGTCAAAACTACAAAAGAGTGGAGACAGAGTTCATTGGTGCATAAGTGAGATCTCCTTTTAAGATTTCCTGTTACCACATTCACAAGTCCCAGGCCAGGTAAGGAGCTCGGCGTTCTGGAGCTAGCGTGGAGAGATGGGAAGTAACCGGGTCATGAGCACGCTGATGCTCATCCGTGGCCACTGAGATGGAACAAGCACAGTCACGCTAGCAGACTCTGATCGGGCAAGGAGGGGACTCACGAGGGCACAGCCGATACACCCCTCCCCATCCTGGGGGAGTTCGGGGGGCCTGGTGCCTGCTGTGAGGATTAGTCATCACAGATGAAGCCTAGCCCTCTGCCTGCTGGAAGCTTTACGTAAGTCCTCCCTGGTCGTGCTGCCCGGCCAGCAGGGAGGCAGGCCGCTGGGCCCACAGGAAGCCCTGAGGAGCAGCCGGACCAGCTGTGCCGTGCCGGTGCTGTCCTGCTGGGGCTTCTGTGGGTGCCTCCCCATGTGCAGGCTGGCAGTGGAGAACGGTCACTTCCTGGCTGTGCTGGGGACAGGGCTGGTTAATGTGTTACAAGTGCTGTGCAGTGCACAGCATTAGTCAGGAGAACAGCGAGCCTTCCTGCACCATTACAACAGGGCGTGTGTGGAACATGACCCCAGACAGACACAAACACTGCGGGCACTGCTCGAGGCCAGGCCAGTGAATAACAACAACAGCCCCGTGTTTACTTCATTTGCGGGGTTTCATCCACCTCCAGCGACTCAGAAATTCCTGACAGCAGGCTGATGGCATTGGCAGCCTGCAGGCAGGTAAGAAAATGCAGATCCTTGTCTCAGGTCAGAAGTTTAACATGGCCTGGGGCCAAATAGCGATGCTCTGAATCTTGGCTTGAAAAGATGGAGGGCATCAGAATCTGAAAATCTTTCTTTTTTAAAATTAATTAAATAATTTATTTAGTTATTGTTGTGCTTTAGATGAAGGTTTACAGAACAAACTAGCTTCTCATTAAACAATTAGTACATGTATTGTTTTATGACATTGGTTACCAACCCCATGACATGGCAATACTCTCCCTTCTTGACCTTGGTTCCCTATTACCAGCGTTCCTGTCCCCTCCTGCCTTCTCGTCCTTGCCCCTGGGCTGATGTGCCCCTTTAGACTTGTTTTGTTTTATGGGCCTGTCTAATCTTTGGCTGAAGGGTGAACCTCAGAAGAGCCATACTCTCGGGGTTTCTCCAGTCTCTGTCAGATGGAATCTGAACATCTTTTACCTAAAACCTCTGGATCGTAATTGGGAACAGAATGCTCCGACAGGCTGGCAACTCCACCCTGGTCCCACAGGGACCAGAGCCAAGCTCCAGCATGTAACATTTCACCAAAGAGCTCCTTGCTTCGAAGACACCATTGGAAGACAAAGGATGCTAAAGAATGACAATCGTATTTAAAGGAGAGGGATGGGAAACAGTCACAACAAGAGCATATGGTTTGGTGGGAAGAGCTTGGATTTGGAAACAGGAAACCTATTGATAGGCCAATGTGGCAGGAAGCTCACTATATGTGCGGTTCTCTTGGAACCTTCTAGAAGTAATGCTTCTTTCATCCTCTAGCCCTACGATGAGACAGGAAGTCCCTGGGTGGTGCAAATGGTTAACGTGCTTGGATGCTAACCGAAAGGTTGAGTCCACCCAGAAGCACCTCAGAAGAAAGTCCTGGCAATCTGCTACTGAAAAATCAGCCATTGAAAACCTTATGGAGTAGAGTTCTATTCGATGGCAACTGGTTTTTTATATTTGTAAATATGATTCTGTTTGGAAATAGGGTTTTCTTTGTTATGTTGATTAGGCC